TGGGGCTGGTGGCGGGGGGAGCCAGGGTGATAGCACGCTGAGATAGCCGGCTGCCCCCGCGCCTCCCGGCCTGTCTACAGCCTGGGCTTGCACCAAGGCCGACACTATCTTGGCTCTTCAAAGAGGCATGAAAGGTCTCTGCTGTCTCCCCGGAGAGCGGCCAGGCCGGGGCTCTCTAATCTCGTAGCACAAGAGCTAAAGGCCAGGGCAGGGGGAGCGGCTCCCACCCTCCCGAGCTCTTCTTCACTCCACCATCGCCAGCACCTCGATGGGTTTTCCCCGGCTGGATCCAGAGCCCGGGTCTGTGGTGGCTGAGCGGCTGGGAGAGCTCCGCTTCCTCGGATTTCACCCTCCTAAGCAACTTTTAGCGTTTGCACGAGAGCTCGGCGCTGCAGCGAGCATTCCCCGAGCGTATGTGTTCGAGGGGTGGGAGGAGAGAGGCTTTGGCTCTCTCCCGGTGGCCTGAAGAGCCAGCTGGAGGAAGGAGGCAAGAGGAACATAAAGGCAGCCCAGCTTTCAGGCCCACACGTCCTCTCCCAGGCCTGCGGGAGCAGCTCCGAGGCGTGTGTGCGTGCGTGGAGGGGCTCTGTGCGCTCCACGGCCTCTGCGGAGATGCTGTGGGCGTGTGGCACCGGGAGGGATTCGTGCCCTGGGGCACACCGCCAATCCCCGCTGCACAGCAGCCCCTGAGGTGTCCCTGACACCCCCTCCATGCCCTGGATGCTCTGCAGGAAAGAACAAGCCTCGGTGCATGGTGAGCAGGGCCAACGTGCACAGCCTAAGTGGGGTTTTGCATCCTATCTATGCATTTCCTTATCGTGCTGCCTGTTCCAAGCATCCCCAGGGGCCCAGACCCATCCTGCCTGCCAGCAGCTCTGCATCCTGCAGGATTTATCCCTCTCCTCCCTCCCTTTCCCACGGCAATGCAACCTCTGCTCTGTCTCCAGCCCTTCAGAAGGCAACACCCCAGCGTGGCCACGCTGTGTTTATCCGAAATAAAACGCAGCGGGCTGGTTTACTTTGGCAGGTTTGCAGTAAATACTGGCTGGAGCGCAGGGGGCATCTGGGGAGTGGTGATTACACGCTTCTTCCGAGGGAAAGTGTGCCCAGCCCCGGGCAGGCCCTTCCCCAGCCCCACAAAAGGTGTCAGGGGATGGGGGCCCTGTTGACACAGATCCATCCCAGAGTGGCACTGCAGGCCACAAGTGTAATGGAGCAGCTCCCTTAGGGAGCTCGTCTATACACTTGGATCGTACAAGCTGCTATGGGGAGAGTGGGGAATCACTGCAGCAGTTCTTTGCTTTCCCCTTTGGCAGAACACTTCCTCCAATTGCAAATTGGATTTCACGGAAAGTCTGGCCCAAAAACTTAAAAAAATAATCTCCCAGAGTTTAAAAAAGCATTGTGAGGCATTAAAAATATTGAGAATTAAGTCTCCCATGTCTCCCTCCCTGAGCAGGCTCAGCCCCATCGTGTCCCACTGCAATCAAAGGGGCCTGAACAGAAGATCCCCCACCAGGGGGATCAGGCCCCCTTCCCAACACAACCGAGGGCTTTGCAGAGTTGGGGGAAGCCCAGACGCAGCATTGCTTGTTGTAATTCTGGGGGGAAAAAGAGAGGAAGGCACCACTTGGAGAGGTTTCTCCTCCAGCACCTCTCACTGGGATGCAGTGTCAGGGGAAGGCTGCTCGTGGCCCAGCCTGGTGGGAGCGGTGCAGCACTGAGTGTGGCAGAGGCACCGTGGGGTCAGGCAGTGCTGTCCCCAGCACGGGGTCACCACCATGCTGGCACTGAGCAGCCCTTCACAGCCCCCAACCCCCTCACTCCTCCTGGCACCCAGAGCCCGGTCGGGATCCTGCCAAAACATCGGGGCTCCAGGTGCTCACATCACCAGCCCTGCCCCAGTTCCTCCCCTCCTCACAAGACCTGCGTTCATCTCATCCCCATCCCAGCTGCTCTGACATTCTCCAGTTGCCTCCACTGTGTCCCAGACTGGAAAAGAAAAGAAAGGAGCACCCAGAGCTGCCTGCTGCAGCTCTCCCCTCTGCCTCGGGCCAGGCCCAGCCTCACCGACCAAGGCATGTCAGGGCACAGCAAGGTTTGGGGCTGGACCTCTTCCCTCCCAAGCTCACATCCCTTTTTACCTTTTCTGAGTCCTTTTTGCACCATTCAGCTTCTGCTTGCCACAAACCAACACCCTCTGCACTCACAGATCTGGCGACCCTTTCCACCCCCTGGTCTTGTTCTTCTCACCAATGTGTTGCTGGCAGAAACAAAATGAAAGTCCTGTTTCCTCCCTTGCCCTCTCTACACCCATCCTTCTGCTTCCACCATCGTTGGCCGAGCAGAAATTGTAAATAGAGTTCACTATTTGGATAAGGCTTTTTTTTTTTTTTAATACCCAAGCCATACATCCAGTTTGCCGCTCAGGAAGTCGCGCTAATTGTCCTTTCCTATAGTCAAACAGATCTATCTTTTCAATGCTGTCTTTGTGTCTCTGCGTGCGAGGGAGAAAGAGAGAATGAGTGGATAGGTTTATTCAATTATTTAAACACACACACAAGACAACAAGAGGGCCAAGGAGCACCGGTTCCTCCCGCAGAACCCTCCGGCTCTCCAGCCGCGGCGTTGACCCCCACCTCCCCGCAGACCCAGTAGAACAAGGCACTCGAGAGCAAAGAAACCGATTTTATCTGCTTTGACCATCAGCCGTGTTCTTTAACAACCCAGAACCGGAGCCTTTCCCATCTCCACACGCCCCCCGGGCGTCTCCTCCGCAGCTCCGGCGGTTCGGAGCGGGGCCGAGCCCGGTTGGTGCGGGGCAGCCGCTGCGCTGCGGGGCAGGGAGGGCACGGGGAGCCCCTGGCACCGCCGCTGACACACACTGTGCTCCCGTTTTCTTCAAGATGCCACCAAGTCACCCGGTCATCGATTGATACCTCGGGCGGGGGGCGGACCAGCTGTTGCAAAAGGACATGGTAAATCTAATAGGGGCTGCTGTCAATAAAGAAATGACAGGGAAGAAGAATCGGCTTCTTAAAGTCTGCTGAACTAACACTCATCATGCAGCCGCGGACACGTACTCCCCATCGAAGCCTGGTATCCATTACTATTTTCCTTCCTAGGTTTCAATTAAAGAGCTGTAACCCCCCCACGCACACCCCAAGGCAGGGCACACATGAAAGGGACGAGAGGCAGCGGACAATCCCTGCCAGCCCCGAGCCTCCGACGTGCCCAAGCGGATTCCCCCGGCCCCGAGCGGCCGGGCCGGGGCAGAGCCGCGTCCCTGCGGGCAGCGGGACCCCGCACGGCACCGCTCTGTGCCGCCGTGGGCTGCAGCACCTAAAAACTGCTCAAGGTGGATGTTCCCCGCGCATCTGGGCGGCAGAGGAGTCGGGGCGCAGCCGTGGGCGCTCACAGCGTGACCGTGTTCCCAACAACTTCATTTCGCTCTTCCCTTCTAGCGTGAAATAAATCCTAAATTATCCCCAGCTTAAAAAAAAATTTAACAAACTCCACCAATTTTTTTTTTTTTTTTAGTGAAAGACGGAAAAGCTTTATTTATTTATTTTTTTTTCAATGTCCCAGTTAGGAGGTTCGAGGCGACAGGGGAAGGCTGGGAACGGGATTTTTTTTTCCTCTCCTGGAGCCCCTCTGTGCGTTTGACCCTTGGCATCTGCCTGAGAAGGGCGAGGGAAGGGCTTCACCCGCCCTCCCTTCAAACGGGAGCTGCAAAAGGCGGCCGAAATGTGCCAGCTCAGCCCTGGGAAACTTTTGGGTAGCAGCAAATTTCTCTAAAGAAAGAACTTGACCGCTTTGGTCAGCCTGAAAGTGTCACCCGACGTGCAGGGCAGGGAGCTGCGGGGACCCTCGGAGCGCCACTCCACAGGGTGTGGAGGACCGAGAAGGTCCTGTCCTTCTTCCCCACTGCTCGCCAACTGTCCCCACTGCCAGGGGACACCTTCCCGAGGGGGCTGAGCCAGTAGTTCAGCCCTCGGCTCCGCTTTGGGGGTGCTGACAGCCCCGCCACCAGCCCCCGGCCCGTCGGGGCACCGGCTCCCACTGCGCTTCACCAAAATCTCCTCTACACGCTCACACATCCAGCAAAACCCCCCGGAGATCATTTCCGTGGGGAGCACGACAAGATGGAAATAAATAATAATAATAATTTTAAAAAGAAAAAAAAAAAGCAGAAAAATAAATCAGGGGCTCCTCTCTGTCTCTGGGGCGTGGGAGGTTTTGTAGCGCAGTTTTATTTTAGTTTAGTATTTTGAACAAACTTCAGATTGATTTCCGGAAAGCGCAAAAGCGCACACATGGGAAAGTGAAAAAACCGGTCCTTCGAGGTCATCTGAGAAGGGGAGACGGGATCTGGAGCCTTCTTCCCCCCTGCCCCCCGCAAAAAAAAAAAAAAAAAAAAAAAAAAAAAAAAAAAGTAATAGAAGGGGAAAGATCCCATGTTTTTATAGTTTAAAAGTACTTTGAATTATTTGCTTTTAATGGCACACGTGGCTGCAGCAAAGCCGGGCTCTGCTTTCGATCTTGCACTTGCTCCTTGCTTTTCCGTACATACATGCATGTGTGTGTATATACATCTCTGAGCTTTACAGCCCCCATTTCACGGCCAGGTTTCTCTCTCCTCGTCTCCCCACCCTTTCCCTGGACCAAAAACAAGTCCCAGGCCACTCTCGCTCCTACGGTAATTACTGTTGTGCTGGGATTCAGAAACGCGGGCAGAGCCGGCTTCTGCCACGGCGTTTCTCTGGAGCAGCAGGAGTATTGCGAGAATTTATTAAACCCAGATGATTCGGGAGTTGGGGCAGACGGAAAAGATTTCCAATTAAAGCCGAGCGGAGCAGAATACAACCAGCTCCGTGTCGCAGGTGTAAACTGCATTTGTGCAGCTCTTGCTGCGCTTCTCGGAGCGGCTCCTTTCCCTTGCTCTGACTGGGGTTAGAGGGGAAAGGTTTGGGTTGGTTTTTTAAATTTATTTTATTTTATTTTATTTTTTCCCGCAGGAGATTTTGCTGGGGAGCCATCGGGCTCGGCCCGGCGCCGGGCTCCGCGGCGCGGAGCATCTTTCCCCGCGGTCGATGCGCGCCGGGGCGGCTCGGTGCCGGCAGCCCCCGCGGAGCCACCGGCCGCCACCTCCAAGCCCTGAAAACCCCCTGCTCACCTGTTGCTTCAGCCGCTTCTTTAATGGCATGGCCTTAAGGGGAAGCTAAAATGCTCACAAAGCGATCTCGGAAAAGCGGCGGCGGGAAGGAATGATTCCAGGTAGATTCTGGGAGATGGGGGAGGATAAAACAGCCGGAGCATCACTCCTGATCCCCGGGATAAGGAAGGAAATGCTCTTTCACAGAACACAGCCACTTTCTGCTCATTTTGTACCGCTTCTCGGGGCTGTTGGGAGTGTTAATTCCCCCCGAAAATTGGTTCCTTGTTCATCAGGAGGATTCAGATGTCGTGGGACATGGGAGCCATCCCCCTTAAAAAGCTTTTTTTTTTCTCCTTAGAGTGAGGCTTGACACACACTCCGGGAGCGGGGCACTCAACTTTCTGATGTTACAGTATAAATAAGGGGGAAAAGCATTAATGAATGTTTAATCCTTGTTTTCTTTAAATACCATTAGGACAATTGTCCGGACCCCGGGTCAGGGAAAAATGCTGTTCAGTGGAGACAGGAAGGCGACGGCTTGGAGGGAGCAGGGGGGATTTGAAGAGGAATAAGTGGGTGCATAGTGCCTGGAGCTCACCTTCTGCAAAGACAAGGTGTGATTAATGTCCGACACTTGTGTTTGTCCCTGCCCTGGCTCACAAATCCTGCTGCTCGTCCCCCGACCGCGAAGGAAGCAGAGCAGATTGTGAAGCCTCTGCACACTGGGACGGGGGTGGGAGAGGGGGGAAAAGAAAAAGAACATACAAGACAAGCCCGTCCCAAGAGCTGGAGTGGGCAGAGTATTACATGTACAAACATCCAAACAAGATTGGAGCAGTACAAAGCGTCGGAAAATCCAGAGCAGCCACATAAAAAGAGAAGTTAAGTAGGAAGTGGTGTAAAAGTGTTGTCATTTATTTTGCCTTCCCTTACAGATGTTCTGCATAAAGCCCTATCTTAATGAGACGGAGCGAGGGAAGAAGGAGGGAGGGGTGAACGCCGCGCTGCCGGCGGGGCGGGGAGGGGGCGCGGGGGTCCCGCCGAGGGCCGGGCTCGCCCCGCCGAGGCTCCGTGGGCTCCGGCCACGGGATGGCGCCGCCGCCGCCGCCGCCTCTCACCTGCCGGAGCGGAGCTCACCTGGGGGCCCGGGGCACCCCCGGCCCGGCCGTGGCACCGCTCATCCCGAGATATCGCAATAAAAGAGCTTTTAGAAGTGACAGCCTGGTATTTATGGGCTGAGAGACAAGCGAGCCGCGGCCGCAGCATCCCCGCGGGTGACGCAGGATAACCTGTCCCGGGGGAGGCTGGTGAGGCAGGAGGGAGAAGGGGATGGGGAAAGTTCAGATCCTGGCGGGCAGAGCTTGGCCGCCAGTATCAGCAGCTCCCGAGCTCGCCGAGAGGGAGGAATAACGCGGCGGGGCAAGAGAAGCGCTGAGCTAAACTTAGGGACCGGGAAGGGAAAGATCCGTTCTTCAAAACAGCTGGACTAAAAATACCCACCCTCCCCCTCCAGACTAAGGCTGGGTGAAGGTGTACGAGATCTAATATTTCAGGTGACATAAGAAGGGAGCAAACACCCTGCCAAAAGCATCTCTCATCCCGCACCACCTCCTCCCCCGAAACACAGTGACCAGCCCCCGCCAAAAAAAAACCCTCGAGCAAATACATCCAAAGTCACGTCTCAGTGTCACCCACCAGCCAAGAAAAAAAATTTAAATAAATAAAATTCGCGTTTTATGAGCCCTGCTCCTCCGGATCAGACCAGGAGAGGAGGCGGTCGCCCCTCGCTGCCCCTTCCCAGGGCAGGTGCGCCCACCGCCCGCTCCCATCACCCAGCCACGGTCCCACCGCGCCGGGACAGTAGCTGGGTTTAAGCATAAAAAAGAGCCTGTTTGCTTCTTTATTAGTGTGAGCCTACTCTAATTACGAGAAATCGCTGCTCTCGGGCTGAAACGACGTGTTGTCCTGTGCTTGTAAAATACATTTCAAGTAATTCTTTTCTGTCTATAAAATGCAGCGTGTGTGTGGGGAATATAAATAAACTGCTGTCCATTTCTTTAATGCTATTTTAGCCAAATTGACTGGCCGGATTGGAATTCGACATAAAAGCTTTAGTTTGCAAAACATCCGCACTATAACGTCTAGGAGACAGGGCTTGAGCTCCAGCGCGACAGGCACGTTAACTGCATTAAAACCTCTCCATACATTTTCGAGCTTTTGCTTTTTTCCCCCCTCTTGCAGCACATCCACCCGCTCTCCTCCCCGCCTCCGGGCGCCTGCGCCTGGTTTTCTCCAAATGAAGTATTTTACGTGATCGATGGAAGGAGTCATTTGGCCCATAATTAGGTCAATAAAATCAATGTTTATTCCTCTGATGGCCTGAAAGCTAATAAATTCCTCTTTTATATTCGCTCCCTCCGAAGATTAGAAAGGAGCTGCCCCAGCCCCAGCGGCAGCAGCGCGGGGTGGGCGGCAGCCCCGGCCGGCGGGACCGCTCCGTTCCACCGGGGAGCCGCGCTCCCAGCCCGCCACCAGCCCAGCCGCTGGCACAAAAATAAAGTTAATATATATATATTTTTAAAAATCCCCTACTCCTATCCCTCCCCATTCCTGTTTATTTTTCAAGACAAGCCAATTTACAACATATCCAAATTGAGTCTAACCCTCCTCGAGCACCCTCCATCGCACACACGCACGCCCCACTCCTGTCTCACAGATAACTTTATTTCGCTTGATTCCCTTTGGAGCCACTGTTAGCCATGGACACGCAAGCTTGGAAGGCGCCTTGGGGAAATCCTATTAGACTTGGAGAAAGTAAAGCTTTCGGGACAATAAAAAAACCCAAACAAAAAAACCCCAACCCAAACCCGCGACAGTTTTATTTTTCACGCAGTAATAGCGAGGAAAAAGTATCGTGGTCCTAATCAGATCAATATAGAGACACACAAATCTTTGCAAAGGTTTAGCAGTTTACAGTGGGTTCCAGACCTTTGACATACATTGCGGATTAATTGGGCACTGTCAAGAGGGGGGAAGAGGAGGTGGGATTCCAGTTAATTAGTCGAGAAATGAATAAAAACTAAACATTATCGGAATTGTCTGCGGGTCCCGGTTTGTTAGTGGGGATTTGGGGATCAGCTTTTGTGCGCCGTAAATTGGATCTGAGTAGCGTGGTGCTGTCTTACACTGTCGTTTTGTGAACTGGCGACAGCTCGAGTCCATGGGAAAACTTAAAGGGAACCTGGGGCCGGTCACAGAGCCTCATTATCTCATGTCGGATACCATCTTTCGGGGAGAGCGTTTAATCAACAGTGGCACACAATCCTCCCCTCGCAACCTGGGCAAAGCGCACCACCTTCCCTTCCCTCCGCCCTGCAAACGGCCCGAGAGAAAAATTAAAATAAATAAAATAAATAAAATAAGAGCCCCCGTTTCCCGAGTGGGTGAAAGCGTCCCACGGGCTGGAGGCGGTCGGAGCTCCCGCAGCCGCGGCTGCCCGCGGTGAGCCCCCGGCCGGGCACGTGGGGCTGTGCCGGTCCCTGCGCTTCGGGGCTCGGGGCTGGCTCTCCCAGGGCTGGCTCTCCCAGGGCTGGCTCTCCCAGGGCTGGCTCTCCACCGTGCCCCCTCCTGCCTTCCCCAGAGCCGGCCAAGAGCCGGGCCGTGGCCGGAGGGAGTTTTCCCCGCGGCGCCGGACGGGGCGGTCCCCGCTGCCCACCCGGCCCCGCCGCCCGCTTCTCCCCGTGCCCGGCCTGCTTTCCTCCGGCCACTCGCGGCTTCTCACCCGCTGCCTCTCCGGGCTGCCCCCGGCTGAGCTGGGGAGTTTCCCCTGCTTCCCAGCGAGGTGAATTCCCTCTCATCCCACTCCTCCCTCCGCCTGCCCTCAAGGGTCCGGCTGGCGGCAAGAGGGGACGCGGGGAAAGAGATGGGAAGGAGCGAGGAGGGACCCGGCAGCGCCTTCCCTGCAGCCTCAGGGCAGGAGTCCCCACGGGAGGAAAACCTTCCGCGCTGGAGGAGAATGGTGCTCCCCGCGTGTCGGTGTCCCGAGCACGGGGGCTCCGGGCCGGGGGAGCCGCGGTTCTGCCCGGGACCAGCGCAGAGCCGGGATGGAGCGAGGGGAGCAGAGAGGGGGAGCCCTCAGCCCACGGGAACTCCCAGCTGCGTGTGGGTGTCCCCCCTGAGCCGCTTTGCGGGCTCGCAGGTGGGGACGGGACCCCTGTGAGGGGCTGCCGGGTCCCTGCGGAGATCTCTCGGGGGTCGCTCCGTGTACCCGAGCGGGACGAGGCCCGGGAGGATGAGGCTGTGGCACACCGGGAGGAGCCCGGGTCCAGATCCTCCAGCACCCCGCGTGGGGCTGGGACAGCCCGAGGGACGGACAGACGGACCTTGCCGAACGGTAAAATCCGCTGCGCTCAAGTTAGGGCGGTCCCTGTCCTGCGAGTACCCTAATCCTAACCCTAACCCTAATCCCTCCTCGGGGCTGAGCAAAGAACGGGCCCCGGGGACACGAAGTGCCCCACCGGGATGGAGCAGCAGCTCCCGGCCACCTCCCGGGCCTCCGGGGCCACCGCTGCAAGTCCCCGGCGTGCCCCATCCCAGGAGGCAGTTTGATAGAAGGGAGGCATCCCTCCCAGCGCAGAAACCTCTCCCGAGGAGGAGGAAGGCACAAAGCGCTGGGTTTTGGGGAGAAAAGGGTTTGGAAAAGGAGCGCATCCCGCTCCGTGGCCGGGAGGTGCCTCCATCTCCCGCGCGGGGCGGCGCGGAGCCGGCGGCGCTCGGTGACATCCCGGCGGAGCCCGGAGCATCCCCGGGCAGCAGCCTCGGCCCCGGCCTCCTCCGGGCCAGCCGCTGGGTGTGCTTCAATTCAACCCGGCTAACGAGCCTGGTGTCCTCCTCACCCCACCCCCGCGTGTGAAACATTGTCATTAGGCGTCTAATATCTCCATCGCTTCCAGGGGGGAATGGGAAGAGGCTGCTCGAAAAAAGCCACAGACAAAAGAAAGTGTGTGAACTCCCAGCGCCCGTATGCACAGCACAATGCAAAGCGGGTTAATATCAGTTAGCAGTTCTGCAGTGACCTGTAAAGTTGCCTCTCTGGAAAGATTCTTGATGTATTACTTAACATGGCTACACAGTTATCTGTCTCGGCATTAATGCGTCCATTAAATCACTGTTGAGTAGCATCAACCTACTCCCGAGTCTTTCCGTCCCCTGGGAATATGGTTTCTAAACAGGATCAAACATGTGATGCTGACAAGTCATGAGATAAGTTATAATTAATTAGAGTTTGCTACATCCACAGAATGGGTACTTGGGGGAGTGGGGATGGACCGGGCCATTAAGGACTTCAGCCAGGAGGTAGAATCTATAATATTGAGTTGGAAAACAAGAAGAAGTAATAATCAAAGGTGGCTGAAGAAAACTGCAAACCTTTAGCTTTCAGAACTCGGTCAAGATTAAAGTTGTTCTTGATGGGAAACACACCATCCACTCCTTAATGAAAACCATGGGGAGACCGATGCTGTGGATGGCTCCTTGAAGAGGGAGAGGAATCCTCGCTCCAGGTCTGAGGACAAAAATCGGCGGCACAATTTGGCGGAGGAAGAAGAGAGGAAGGAGTTGGGAGAAGGGAACCGCCTCGCCTGGCCGAGCAGCGGAGCCGCAGCCAGAGGTCACGTCTCCACCCGACACACACTTCGAGGTCGTTTCGCAGATGTTCCCCCGGTTCAGAGAGCCCCGAAGCATCGCCCTGCCTGCCCCAGAGCGCCCTGGAAGCTGCCGAAACCCCTCTCCTCCTGGCAGACAAATGGCCCCTCTTGCCCTGGGCTGGGGCCAGCCTGCAGCCCTCCCCCTGCCCTCTCTGCTGGACTGACAGTTCAAAATCAGACCGCAAACA